CCTATGAATGCTGTTTTCTCCCTCTAGTTTCTTTTTATCTTCTACTTTCTCCTTAAGGAGGGTCTCTTTCTTTTAACTCTTTTCATCCTGACTTTAGGGATTCTCTTTTAAAAACCAGTGCTCAGTAGATGTTTCTACTGTCTCATAAAGGCATGTTTTCAGGTGTATTATTTTATATTATATCTGATCGTGAGGTTCAGGCTCCCACACCATCAGCCCAAAATTAAATATTTAACTGTCTTTCACATTTTCCTAAGAAAACTGATGCACGTTGAACATTACAAAGCATTTTTACATTTTCTCCACCTGCCTAACAAGGAAGATCTACTTTTTCTTGACCATCACCATCTCTTCATGGCCACCATCACTTCATTTATCTTCTGTTGTTACCATATATTACCTCTCCCACTCTGCTCAGTGACAGTACCTTCTGATAAATTTCTATTTAACTTCCCAGGATGGATGTTACGCAGCATCATTCCCAAACACTAATTGACAATGTAGAAAAAGTAAAAACTTGACTTCAGTGTAGCTGTTGATACAAAAGGCTTATCTTGCTCAATTATTTGGAAAAGACTCTGAATCCAGGAGAAATGGCTGGAGAAGAAAAGAAGGTAAGACTCCAAACTAAGAAAAATGGGAGATTTAGTGGCAATGGAGAGAATAATACACAAAAATCAGGAAGACTCAGACACAAGACTGGTAAGGAAGCAGCTTGCTTTGGAATACTGCTTCATCTCCACTCATGCAGATGAGACATAGCAGATGCCTGCTTTCATTTTGTTCTTGGAGACACTGGTCCAGTGATACGATTGGTGGTTGGATCTGTTTTAGTGCAGCAAATCTACATATTTCTTCAAGTATTGTAACAAAAGAATAAACAGTGAAAACACGTTGCCCAAGTCATGTGTCAGAGGGTCATGTTCATCATTTACAGCATCTCTGTCCAATAACCTGTAAGATGGGGCTTCTAAGCTGGATGAAACCTCAAGATTTTATTGAAACAACAACTAACACTTCTTCATAATTTTCTCAAACTGCCTTCATATTTGAGGGCAGATAATTTACTTTCACAGTGATCCAGAATGGCTGCGTTTCTTTGGTGATATGTGAGTACAGGAAGACCCACTCAAGATTATAGCAGTCATAACAGCTTCAAAGTGAATTCAAGGTAACCCAAAGTTACTGAAACATTTCTGAAGTATTTCAGGATTTTCAAATGCATTAGATTATCCTTAAGTAATGTACTAAGCAGGACATTTGTGCATGTGTGCACAGGTGCAAACACAAACTGAGAGGACCGAGGCTGAGGCACAGAGAAAGCTCAAAGACCAGGCCAACTTTTAGCTTTAAATACCTCCCATATTACTTAGAGTGTTTGTAAGATAGAAAGTAATCAAAGATCTCAAAGCAGGCAGATAAAATACAAGTTGTTTTCTGACTTTATAAATGGCAAAAAAAATTATGATCGTTTTATTGTCACAATTACAGGCTGTTAAAATCACTGAGGTTAGGGGTTTAGATGATGTAGAGCCACCCACAGCTAGCCTTAGGAACACATTTCTCATTCAGCCTCAGAAATGTTCCTGCATATTAAGATGTCAGAGATCATCGTTGTTTATGCACTGGCTGCTTTCCATAATAATCAGACCCTTGGCCACTCCGGTAGAGAAGAGACTAATGCCATGTTTTTCAGACATGTTTCTCCTAGTAAACTGTGATTAGCTCTCTGCAGCACAGGACTGTGCCCTATCAAATCACAGCATGAAAATTTATTTAAGTCTGTATGCAAACAAGAAATACAATGAAATTTTGTTTCTATTCTCAATAGTCTTCCCAACTCCACAGGCATTTAATGTGCCCAGCATTTTTTTAACTACAATAACTATTTATTAGTGATACTTTCTGTTCAAATCCCATTGTTTTACACTTACAGAACTCAGTTTACAGCGTTAAAGCCTTGCCTGAGTGGATGTTGAAATTTTCATCATCAGTGCTCTCTGCACTTCTCAATTTATCACACTTACCGTTTGCAGCTATCTGTCTTAAAACTCACAAAGACAGGCAAAGCACAGAAGTTACTTAACCCCATATCATCTATATTTAAATGCAGTAATTTCACAAATCTTAAAGAATAATGGAAATGGTTCAGACTTGGCAAGACATTTCATGTTCTCTCTTGCATTCCTCTGCTAAAGAAAGGAAAAGATTAAGTCACCTTAAATGTATTATTAAAGCATTAACCTCCATTTTTGTGCCAAAGAAGTCAGTTGGGAAAGAAGAGTCTTTCCATCCCGTACACTGAGGAAATCTTTAGCGTGTAACAACAATTTCAGACCAACAGGGAGGGGAGCATGGCTGGCTGAGCACCTGTGGAAGGCAACAATGCAGTTTTGCCACAGCCAGAAAACTTTTGTGCACAGAATGGCATGAAGGAGAGCATTTTTTAAGAAGCAACAGAGAACCTGGTATCCGTGACCAAACAGTTCCAATGACCCTAATGGCATGAGCAAATAGTGTAATTCAGCCCAGCCCACAGGTCAGAGCACTTTGTGCAGAGCATTATATGCTGGTACACCAGTATGATCCTTGAGGTTGTGTGTTTTGTTGCTCTAACCATTCCACACTTTACCAGCATAAAGTTCAATTACTCAGTTTTGGGGTACGTAAAAGACAAGTTTCGGTTGTCCAGTTAGATTACGCTTCCTATTCCTATTGCATTCCTATGGTTCCTTATAGCAAATAAGGAACCATAAAACAAACAAAAAAAAACTTTTACCATGGCGAGGAAGGATATAGGGTGGCACAAAGGGAGTGCAGAACATAGTATGTGTACAGAAGAGGGCTTTTTCCTTTGGAGTGCTCTCAGACCTCCACGGTGTACGGGAATTAAGGAGCTCAGTGCTTTGCATTAAGAGGCCATAGGAAGATTAAGTAATTGCCAGCAAGAATAGTAATGACTCTGACTTGCAAATCTGCATACTTCACAGATGTGGAAAGGATCTGAGAGAAAAAAGACCACACCATGCAGAAATGGTGAAAATACCAAGTGACCATTTTCTGTCTTGGAGGCGTCTTTCCTCCTGTCCCCATTCTGTGTTTATATAAATATTATGTATTCACAGCTGACAAAATCCATAGTCTGGGATGGAGAAAATAAAAGCAAGTCTAACACAATGCCTGTATAAAAATTAGATTTAATGAAATGCCTATTGTGGATTTATTTCCTGATGTTCTTCTGTGGTAATAAACCCACATCCCTTAACACACTTGGAAGTGAAACAGAAAAATGAAACCAGGGAATTTCTTGGCTGCCATCTACTGTTCAAAACTTTTCTGTATCACACAGAAGAATAAAAACAAGAACAAACCCGAAGACTGCTCGCTGACATCTCCAGGTTTTCTCCTCCTCTTTACTATTCTTGGATAAAAACAATGTCTTTGGACTGCTGTTAAAAACCACTGTAATGATTCTGTGTATGTTCTCACCTTTTAATTGCTAACAAGAATGAGAAACACAAAAGCTTGTAAACTTAATGACACACTGATTTAGGGAAGAACACTGTAGTATTTTTAGTATTTCAGTGAAAAACTGTACTTTTTAAAAAAGCTCTACTAATTCACTATGGAGCACTAGAGAGCGATTTCACTATACAGCAATAAGATAGCACTGGGACAGAGACTGAAAAGCAATGTGCAAGAAAGCTGTCTGCTTTCCCTCTTCTCAAGGCTTTGTGTCACTATCAGGGTAAGCCCCACAATGTATTTGTTTCTCTTGCTCTCTTATTTTGAGCTCTGCCTACATCTCATTGTCCGTTTCAACTCCTCTGCTCCACCTCCCGTGTCTTTGCTGCCCCAAAGAAGCCACTATGATCCTGCAGATCCGACGAATAAGACAGGCTGGAATGAAAAGGGAAAGAACTTCTTCATCTCCAACCTACAAGACGGCTTGGAAATCAGGTTTAAATGACAGAGGATGCCACTGTTTATGACTAAAGCTGAAGGAACTATCATCTGCAGTAAAGGAAAACCAGGAGTTTAAGTGAGAGACCTTAGGCCTGCAAGAATATCTGAAGTCAGTTTTGTCACTCACTTCCAGACTTTAGTCACATGGTTATAAATTTAAAACTCATCCTAGTAAAATATACTGGGAGCCAATTAAGTGCTTCATCTGAATGCACCTACTAACCTTCTCTTTACCCTCTAGTCCACACTCATTCACAGCAGCTCCAACAAGTTCAGGCTGCCCAGGCCCTGTCCGGTCAGGTTTTGAACAGGATGGAGATGTCAAACCTCTCTGGACAACCAGTTCCAGTATTTCACCAGTCAACATGTCTCCTACTCGTTCACCTGCTTGGCATGTTTAAAACCTAGTATACCTAAGATCCCCACTCAAAGACTATATATACTACCTATATACTCATACATACATTCATAGCATAATGAAGCTGACCATGTACTTCTAGTCTCTAGGGAACAACCCGCTCCCTCTCACACAAACGTATCAGATGGTGAAACAGCTTTTCAAGAATGGTTGTAGAATATGACAACTTCAAGTGCAACGCACATTAAAAAATTGAACCTTTGCAGAAAGGTACTAAGAGATGATCTAGCAGTAACTTCAGCTTTCACAAGTGTTTTCTCTACTCTTTAGTTTCTTTAGTATTCCTCAAAGTTCAGGGCAGCCTGTGGAAATGTAATACTAATCAAGAATCAGCCTACCAGCAATCTGAAAAGTACGATACTCGGTGTCTGAGGAATAACATGCAGGTCAGGGCTCATAGTGTAATAAACAGCAGAAAATGCAAAAGAAAGCAAAGCAATTAAACAAAAGAAAAACCCCCACCCTGAGCAAAATAAAAAGCAAGCAGCTAGAAAAAGTGTGTTATGGTTCATGCACTGCATACCAGGTCATTCTGAAGCCTGTGGGCAAGGATGTAGTTATCGGTGTCCCGTATTTCCTGGAAGAGAATTTGGATGAACTTAGTGCTTTGACCTACCTGGTTTGAAATGGGGTAAAGAGTGGACTCCAGGCCATGTATCTTCATTTGGTGTTCCAAGTACCTGTACACAAGAAGAGGGGGTAAAAAAAAAAATTTAAAAATCAGACATTGCTTTAATAGAGAAGACTTTACCACTCATAGCATTGCATAAAGCCACTCCTCCAAAGATCTCAATATACCTTACAACCTAAACTTTAAATAGGTTTAATTTTGGGGGCAAGCAGGGGAAGAAGAGGGTACAAACAGATAAATGATTACCGCAGTTTAGAGGTACCAGCGCAGTCAGTAAAGCATATAACAGCGCTGTGTTTCTGTCAGGTTGCCCATTTAACCAATACATGTTAAAGCTACTTTCCCCATTGACAAGTGTCAAGCTACCTGCATATTTCAGAGCACTGGTGTTACAGAGGCTAGATATTTTAGCTCAGAAATAATTTCAATTCCTGTAAGCTTAAATAAGCTGAACAGATACCTAATAGATGCTAGGACAGATTTGCACAAATGGTGAAGCAGATGACCAAGATCACGGCATGAACAAGAATGCACAGAGAATAGTTGTCATTTTAAATGGATGTAGTATACACAAAAATGTATACACAAAAATAGTCAATTTTTAGGAAATGCAGATTTTATTGACGCACGCATTATGCTTTGTTTCTATTCACTTCAACGCCCTCCTTCTTGTAGTGTAAGTCAGACCAACTTTCAGTAAAGTATTTAACACTTCTCACATGCATCTTACATCATCTGCTTACACAAAAAGTTCACCCTCCGTGTCTTTGGCACAAATAGTAAATAAATTGAGAAAACTGCTGTACTTAGTTCTCCCAAACCTGTTTTTGCTCCATGATGCAAAACTGTCAACCCTTGCTTTAAGTTGAGCCTAGAGGAACACCTGAAGTAGCAGTTCTAGAAATGCACTTCTGAATAAGTTGTGGAGTTTGATATTTTACTAGTGGGATCTTCCTTGTTACAAATTTACACCAGTTTCTAAACAAAATGAAAATGCTAGGGACTGTTTTCAATATTTGCTATAAGCTCAGGCCCTGGCATAAAAGGCTGATATAAGTGAAAGCATTTCACACCAGCCTGGTGCTTGTTTTGCATTGTCATAAATGTACAAAACCCCTTGTCAGCCCTGTCGCTACCTGCACTGCAGATCTTCTGAATAAATCTTTTGGACCTGCATATCTTGAGTCGCTGTGATATTCTGTGGTCACTTACACTTGCACAAAACAAGCACCAAGTTAGTGGGAAAAACTTTGGTCCAAGTATGTGAAGGTTTGTAACACTTCATGGCACGCTACAAGACATCTACTCCCAATCCTTTGGAGCTGAAAAGATTTTTTTATTTTATTTTATTGTGTCTGCTGCAATATACATATGGATTAAGAGCATTAATGGAAGGAGCAATCTAGAATATTTGTTGTACTACTTAAGCTACGTAAGTATTTGTTCATGTTGATAAATTCAAGCTTAAAAATATTCTTAGAAGCAAGACTGGGAAGCTAAACCACAAAAAATTTCTCTTCAACTCTGCCAGAAATTTATTGCATAAAATTTAGAAACTGGCTTAAAATCTTGAGGCAAAACTAAGTGACCTCTTAAATAGATACAATTCTTACCTACAAGCCGTGCTTTAGGACTCTAGGACCTCAAGTTTGTTAAGCAGGTTACAATACTAACATGTTTATAATCTAAGAATATTAATGCAAAGGTCATCTTTCTCCACTATCAAATACAATAACCAAATAGTCCAATTTAGATGTAGTATGACCAGCAGGAGGTGAAAGCAGAGCACCAGAGTGTCAGAGAAACAAAGATGACGGTAGCAGTGCAATTAGACAGTATATATTCATGTGGTTATTTGGCTATGCAAGGTCACTGATTTTATTTGTAAATATTGTTTGTAGGACATTGCTTTTAGTCCTTGTGAAACATGTCCTAATCGGCATTTGAGTAAGATAAAACGGGCCCTGCAACCCTGATTCATCACAACACCCGTACTTATTCCATTAGAGCACAACTCTCTCATTAAACATAGAAGAAGTTAGGAGACACTGTTGACACTATGTCACTAAATCAATTTGCAAATAACTTTCACCCAGCTTCTGTAGTAATCAAACTCCTGGTGCCAAGCACCTCCCAGACCAGCAGAGGGAGCCCGTGGATTAACAACAGGGATTCTTGCCTCTCGGTTTAAATTAAGAAATATGGTCCTCAACTTTACAATGCCTCTTAGCAAATCAAAGGAATATTCTCTCATCAAACGTTATGAATATAAGAAAATTAGCCACATCCTTCCAAATGTATGTTCTTAACTATCTGCTATGTTAGATGAGACATAGGCAGCTAAGGCACTTGTACAGTTGAATATTAAAACCAGATAACAAAATCTGAAACTTCCAGTGCAAGGTACAATATTTATCAGACCAATTTAATGTAGTACTTGGAGCTAAGAAATGGATTATTCTGATTTTCAAAGTAACATCATGTCCAGTAACAGAGGTCTTCGTGGGAGATCACTTTTGTAATGAATCTTATGTCACTCACAACCAATCGTTTCAATAGTTTTCCAACCCATTTCTTTAATATTATTCCAGCACATCTGCTGTTAGAGTGTTTAAGAGCCAGCTACAAACAAGTTCTGTGCACTGTAGTACTCAAATCACCTACAATACTTATACCTTGTGTCAAGGGTAGCAGACAGGTTAAAAACAACTAGGGTTTTCTATAATCTAAATGCTTACCATTTTTAAGGTAGGGACACTTCGTAGTTCAGGCAAGGAGGCAAGACATTGTATTTTAATGCATTGTACAAACACTATAAAGACCATCTTTCTTCCATGCAATTTTTAGCATGCACAATACAGAAATTCACAATATGTGACTATCAATCAACAAACAAGGAGGAGACAGCAGTGAAACAATCGTGGCTTTGGATAAGACGAAACAGCCACAGCCTACAGGTATGTCAACATAAAGAGATTTGTAAGCATCACCTTGCAAGTGATGCTTCTAAGCAGCAAACCACCCCGTTTTGATGAGGTGGGATTAGGCAATCCAAAGCAATGAGTTTTGACACCTGCTATAAACAAAGCAAAGTGGGGTTCATATATAACACCACAGCAGAGAAGGATCTGCCTTGTTTTGTGGCTTACAAAAGAGAATTAAGGGACAAACACAGGAAAGGAAAGCAGAGGAGGAAGGGGGAACCCAAGAGTCTTCTGGTTTTACTCCAAAACACTGTCCCTTAGCAGTTAAGACTGATTATCCAGACCAAATCACTGGCAACATCTTAGTATCTAACTGATTATATTATATATATGAGGGAGCCAGCTGTAGCAAACCACTGGTTACCCAGCCAGGGATGGAGAGCAAGTCTAACCTTACAGCAATGAGTGGAAGTGGAAGATCCAGGAGACACAGCAGCCTAGGACAGCAACTGAACACCAGGAGCTGTTATTTTACGGGTGACTTCCTAGCCCCAACTATCCTTTCACAGCCCACCACGTACTTTTCATCCCAAGCATGCCGCCAGGAGTTCTGTCTCTTTCACTTTTTTTCTTTCAATTCGTGTTCCAAAACCATTAAAATAACTGCCACTGTCATGGCAATCAAGCCCCAACTTAATACTAGAAATAAGCTTTTATTTACCACTGAGAATTACTTGGAAAAAAAAGACTAACTTCTTTGCTTTCTCTGCTGATAATTTGCTTCTCAGTGAAGTAAACATTCAACTTGCATGGTTTGATACCTGTTTTTCTAATTGAATTACTGACACAAGAATAATCTACAATTCTTAAATTTGTAATGGATTTCATGTTTTACAGGGACCAGGATGGTTGTGGTTTCTGTAAAGAAAACTCCAAAACCTACAGGTGTTTTGCTGTTACACACTACACACAATTGTAACATAAAACACCCTGGGCTCTTTTATTCCCTAAAAAATGAGATAAAATGACCTTCTCATTTAAAATGTGCTGTTCAAAATCAGGATCAGATTCTAATGTAATTTGTAGGGTGAGAAATCTATTTATATGAAAATAACAGATTTACAATACGTCAGGGTACTGAGGGCCAAATATCCTTACTGCCAGTTGACATTTTACAGTTTGGCAGAAAGTTACGAAAACAGAAAGATTGCCCAGGAAATGCAACACAAATGCATTAAGGCCTATTGCATTGCTTAATTTTTTAATATAAGAAAAAAAAGTTGTTTGCTTTTTTGCATCTCATTTTACAAAGACTCATCATTCCCCTAATTAACGTGCTCCCTGGTGTCCAAGCAAGTCATTATTTTATGGTGAGCACTACCCACTCTATCAACACAGTCATGTTTTCCTGTATTCTGCTTCAAATGCAAAAACATTGCTTATTACTGTCATGTAATAAGGTCATTCTGGGTAACAATTTGTCCAGAGAAGTCATCTGAATCTCTTGTGAGATGAACAGCAGTGCAAACCTCTCCTGCCAGCTCTTTCCCAAGTGCTGGCATAATTAATAAAGAACAAGCTTTTCCATTTGCACTACAACTTTTGAATATACGAAGCCGTATATTACTGAAATAATGCTTTAACCCTTAGATCTGATGAACCTCCAGAAAGGCGATGGCTTGCACTTCAAGAAGGCAAAGAACATGCAGCCAGTGGTATTATTCAGGGTTTTGTAGCAACAGAGCACAATGAAAAGCAAGATCAGCATGCAAATGAGCTGCCTTTCCTTAGACAACGTTTATGAAAATCAGGCTAAGCAATTTGCTGAATTTTTAACCTTTTTCACATTAGGTCAATCTGATGAATAAACAAAGTTTAGTCAAAAAATGTCAGGAGAGTGAATCTTCTTTTTTCTCCCTCCTTTAATAAAGAGAGGTGTTTGTTGAAAAATACCATAGAATTTTAACTAGGAAAAGTTACAAGCTGTATGTAAAAATGTTTCCTTATTTTATTTTTCCTTGTAAGGATCGTCAAGATTTCTGTTCTGGTCTTCCTATGTGCTGGGTAAAACATACTGTGTTTAGTGAGTTCTTGGCTGTGATGTACCATGGAAGACTATAGCTGT